TTGTGAGAGATCTTTTCAACACTCGAAGATAAATTTCGTATCTCCGCGCGCCCATGTAATATCCTCTATCTATTTAATGTTCACGGTTTTAGTGCATGCACTCTAGCTTTGCAAGAAAAACACGTCGATATTCGAATTAGATAGTTTTATTGAATAATTGTGCGATATTACGTTTTTATCTGCACGTAAATGTATCGTTTTAGACCTACTAATTCACACATTGGTATTTACATAGCGAGTTAGGTATTTCATCAAAGGTCGTCTGTTTTCTGAGTCCAGTCCGGTGAGTCAATAAGTCGCGAGTCGTGAGTCTGTGAGTCATGAGTCGAATAAAATAAATTCTAATATCTCTCGTGAAATTATCAAAAATGGTACGGGTATTGAAGTTATAGCGGCCATGGACTGCTTCTGTCCTTTCCAGTACTGATTTCATGTGTCTAGCTTTATTGTCTAGCCAACTGAACACTAACACAGTAAACCAAAAACATCAGGTGAATTGAACTTAATCCAGCGAAAAATTTTAATATTAGATTCTCTGCTGATTTGCTGCATGTATTTTTAAACTTACCCTAGAACTGAAATCCATTTCTTCCCATGGTAATTGTTTTAAAACACCAACTTAGACTTTTCGAACTTTCGAACCATTCACTTGACTTGTACTCCAACTCGACCCTAATGTTGTTCAAATTTGAACCGATAATCGATATTTTATGCACCGAAAATTGAACTACGGTATCTCTACTACTAACAGACTTACCAAACTCAATAGGTTTTGAGATAAGACCTGTTTTTATTAGAACATCTCACTGCAAAGCTGCACGAATACTTCAAGTGCCGATTTGTTTATTCGCTCCAGTCTATCCGCGCATTTTAGCACTGCTATAGATGGCCACTGAATCCATCTATAAAAAACGGTAGCAATATTCTATCCCAGGTCGTTTGGTGATATTCCAACAACTAGAATATAAAATATTATCAATTTTCCTATTTGACTCATTGACTCATGCGGCTCATTCGAATGTCTTTATCCTATGGCATCATACCCAAAATGCAAATAACGAAGGGGGCTGGGGACTGGCAACTTATCAATTCTCGGAAAAGCAACTTGAAGGCGTGTACCAAGAGGTAGAGGCTATTTCGCGAGACTCAAAACGACATCCCGAAAATGACGTCACCTTCGTGTTCCCGACGGAATGATTGTCTCGATAGTGAAGCTACCGGAAATCATGCCATGTTGAAGTCGTGTTGAAGCCGTTTGTTGAGTGTTTGAACGTGTAAATCGTGATTAATTTTAAAATAAAAAT